TCCGATCTCCCCAAAACCCCAAAACCCCTACTTTATAAATAATGGTCAAGGATTCTTATTAATAAATAATAATAAACTTTGTCTATTTTTAATTGAAATATAGTCAATGATTCACGTGATACCAAACAACTTTACCTGGATAGCGAGCAATCTAGCATAGATGCTAGGATTCATATTATCTATTTCTAGTTAGATTCACTTGGTCTGCTTTATGCTACCTTATTTCAAGCTAAGATTCTTGCCTAATATTGATTCTAGCTTTGGTTAATTGAGTCCATAGCCTCAAGACTACTCAAAACTTGATTTTATATATAGACTTATGTTCAACTGTTGCTTAATGTCTATGTTTTGGATATAGCACTATGTAATGGCGAGGGAAAAGTTTAAAAATCAAATGTATGCCTTTTCCAAGCAATATTACTATCTCGAGAGACCATTGTTCATAGTTTCAGCTAGTTCGATTCTGCTTCTAGTAATTTATAATTACCAACCACTGCCTGAAATGGCTTTTGAAGGATTTAACACCTCACTAAGCTTTTTTGTATCACTTTTCTTAGTCATTTCTGGATTGTACTTGTTTCTGAAGAGTTAACTGGAGATGAGCTAAGATATTTATGGGTTTTATTTGATTAGATATTTTTAGCGAGAAGGAAACGAATTCCCAGTGCCTTTCTAGATTGATGAATTTACCAAAACTTAATTCATGTGCCGAAACCCTATGATATTAGGACTTGTGATATTTATGTTTGGAACTCTATGCTATGGTCCAATCACATATGGACGCATGCTATTCACATCATGGTACATCATTCATTCATATATTGGGGCAATATTTGAAGAAGCTGATAAATTGTAGAATTTGGATCCAATATATTAGCGATATTTCCAAATTGTTCCGAATAGAATGCTCCCAGATATTTCTATATTATTAATGAGTGATTCAAGATTTAATGATATGAAAACTGAATTATTTAAATGCTGAATTTTTAAAGTTAAAGATGACAAGATTTACCTTTACGGGGTTTTGGGGTTTTGGGGTTTTGGGG